GAGTAAAAATATGCCTATGGGTTAGGGAAGCATACGTGTTCATCTGTCTATGTATTTTCACATAGAGTTGAAACATGAGGGCCCTCACTTCCTGGATAGATTAATCTACTGGCAGATATGGATATTTAGTGTCCTATGGGGGAAGTGGTGGGAGTATAATATGTAGGACACGGAGGAAGGAGTAAGTCACTAGGTATGCTTCCTTGTGCCTTTGTCTTGCCCTGGTCTTTTCCTGGGGTTCCTGCTCTGCTTTCTTACTGCTTTCCTCTCTGCCTTGGAATGACCTCTGAAATTATACAAAATAAACTCCCCCTCTCTAAATTATTGCTCAAAGTAATAATAGCATCAATACACCAATAATATATATGATATATAAAACATATATATTTATTATATATATAACATATAGGTATATGTTACAGTCATGGTAAATTGTTTTCTGAACAAATATAGCTATTTTATATCTTTCTTTTCCAGTATTATGCTACTTAGATTACACAAAGTTCCATGTACCCACTGAAAAAGCAATTATGTTGTTGTTGGTTTTTTTTTTTCCTCTTATGGGATAGGAAGCACTATCAATCAATTCCCCGCCTAAAGCAAACTACGGTTGTGTCAAGAAATCTGTCATCTGTTTGAGTTCAGGAGGGAGGAAAAAAAGAGAGTGGATTTCTAAAGAGAGAAGAGAATGAGTGGTATATGGGATAAATCTTCTCTCACATTGTCCTAGGGCATGAAGTTGAGAAACAATAAAGCATTTGTGTGATTACTGTCATGTTCTTGTGAATCCTGGGAACATATAGTAGATCCAGAAACTGGAGTTCGTTTGTTTTCACCACTGCTAGCAAATTAGAGACAGTTATTTATGTTGTACTTTTGTAGAAATGAATCCAACAGGGATCAAGATACCTACCTGAAGTTAAAAGGCTATTACATGTTAGAGTGCATTTTATAGAGAGGATGTAATATATTGTTTCTGAATTTTAGCTAAAGAATCATGTATCCTGAACCTTTATCTGTTTTGCCTATGTGAATCAGTGAGAGATAGCCATGCGTGGACCAAAACTTTCTAAAAGTTATAAAGAACAATGTAGTAATTCTTTGGCCATAGGAAAACAACTTTTCATGTAAAGAGGTGGACTGCAAATATTTTCCACCACACTCAGAACTTGTAGGACTTTCAGTAAGGGAGCTCCTTTGTTTTTAAAAATTTTTAATTTCATAAAGAAGATGAAATATCAGTCTTCTCCATGAAACATAGCATCAACACCTATGGATTGCCTAACTCCTCCCTTTAATATTTGATTTTTAAAATTCACAGATGACATTTCCAGCAGTAAAAATCACAGTTCTGGCTCCTAAGACACTTTGAACGTAGCAGACAGCTAAGTCTGCTGAGGTTTGATACCAGTATATTCTAAAGTCAAAAGTAATAAACAAGTGAGCATAAGAAAATTTCTATCTCTTTCCATGTTCTCAACACCAGTGTATCAGCTGAGCTATTGATCCTCAGGAACAGCCATCCCCTGTGACACCTTTAGTCCAAGCTTAGAAGATGAGGCTCCTGGTCAGGGCAAGAACTCTGAGACTCTTCTCAATGCATCTCTTACATGGGTTCTTGTAATTCTCTGAGAATTCTTCCCTGTTACAAACACTTTGAGTTGTCACGGAAATAAAATAGGTTTTTATGTGTTAGCACATGATTCTTATATTGTAAGAGGCTTTAAAACTTCTACTTGTTTAAAGAAATAAACAACACTAAGTGAAACTTTCTTTCTAGTTTTCAAAGGTTTTCATATACAAGATATATATATATACATATATATATATATATGTAACCTATCATAATAAAATGAAAGTCTGTACTAGTCTTCAAAACCAGATGTACCTATCCTAAAAGGCAGCCTTTTAAAGTTGGGATAGGCTGAAAGTCCATCAGAAGAAAGTTCATTAGAAAAAACTGTTGATTTTGTGTACCCACTCAATAATTTTCCGGCCTCTGCTCACTCCCTGCTTCTCCAGTGAGTATTTACACACATGTGGTTATGAGGTCTTACTGGGTAATAGGCTAGCTGTCACAACATCTCTAATTTATATGACTCTCTAGGTTTAGCTAAACTTCTTTTCTCTAATTTCATTTTCTGTTCTTTGTAACATAATCACAGGAATCAAGATCAGAATAGTCCAAATTTATCAGAAAAGGAAGTTTAAAATCATAGTGATTTTCTTTAATCAACCGTCAAATCCCAAAATCCCTGTCATTCACAACAAATATTTATTGTTCTTTCAAAATGAGAAAGCAGGAGCAATGCTTTCTTATATTCTCATAGGTGCTCAGCAACCCCCAGCCCCCACAAAAGGCCATAAACTCTGAGTGACCACTGGTACCCAGGAATCTGGCCATTAAGTGACCATGTAGCCTGGGAGAGGGGCATATTTTATCTGTATGAGAACTAAAAGGCAACCAGTGTAGATTCAGCACCAGGCAGGATGGACTGAGAAAAAAAACGAAGAGATTTACAGAATCGTGCTCTCATAGAGTAAGAAAGCAAAATAATCAAAATTCATCTTAAATCTTCAAGAAAAACAGAAAAGGGGATTATATAATAGAACCCTGTGACCTGAGATTTTTTTTTTTTTATGACAGAGAAAAAACAAGAGCAAAGTAAGTCTTGACAGTTTCACAAACCGGTCTAGTTTTGTTTGAGCAAAACAGACCTGTTCTTTTTTTCCATCTCTGACAAACTGAATTTTATGATCTCACTATCTCATATTTATCTTCCTAGAGATATGCCATGTCATGTTTCTGGGTGTATATGCTTCTAATCTGTCCTGAACTGCTTGTTCCTTAAAGCATGACACTATTCCTTCAACAGTTCCATTTCTCTATGTCTCTTTTGACTGAACTGTAAAGACACTCATAAACTAGGGAAATGTGTAGCCTAAGACCTAAGAGCAATTTCAAACACTCTTTACCAGATCCCATGGGACTAAGGGAGCTCTATTCACTAGGTATCATGAATCGGTATCTTTAAAATGTTCTCTGGTAGATGTAGATAATCTGGTCTCATTTTCCCACATCATCCTCAGGATTTCTGACCAGAAGAGTTGGTAATAAACCTACATTTCATCTTACTCCTCTTTCCTATGTATTCCAGCATACTTGTTTGTCCCTCAGCATTGCGTTGTCCTGAGGAGTAAGTGATCGGAACGTGAAGCAGGTGAACAGAAGTCAACAAAACAGGTATTTTGAGCCACAATTGAGAAGAATAAACAGTGTCAAAGAAGGTAGCAAGGATTATTCTAAACGTCAGGTTGCTACTGAATGGCATGCAAAAATCAGATTTTGAAGAATGACTGCATCAGCAAATTGATGAATTATGAATATATGCCATACTACACAAGATAGACACAGAGCAGATAGAACACAGCAGCATTCTTTTTCATATGTGTGTACACCAATGTCGGGAAGTGCTTATTGCCTTATAACCAAATAAGGAAGGACCACTTAAGATAAGATTGCTTTTAAGGTAACATGTTTGAATGACAAAAGATTCCATAAATTGGGAAAGACATTTTATTTCCAAGCTTCTAAGAGGATACTACAAACATTAAGATCCTTAAAGAAAAAAAAAAGAAAGAAAAAAAGGAAAAAGAAAAGGAAAAACAACACTTTTTAACTACTGAAAAGTAAATAGTCCTGGAAAAAAAGGTTCCTTGGCATAAAAAAATGTGAAAATGGAGTTGTCAACTCTATTCTGACTACATTACTATATAAGTAAAAGGATCATTGTGATGGTGAGGGGACTTACAGCTGAGTAAGCCAGATTCGTTTGCCTTTTGAGTTATTCTGTTGTTTCAAATTCAATTGGAGATTGGCATAAGCCTAGCAAAACATTCTTTGGATTACAAAGTCTATCTGTCAAATAAACATAACCTGCAATTATGCAAGTACCAAGAATGCACATTTCTTCATGGGATAAAAGACTCTTAAGTGGCAATGTCCACTGGGTTTCTCCCATTGATTTAGTCAACTGACTTGATGTCAATGCAAAGTAAACTGGGAGTAAGCACATCATAAAAAAATAGTACATAATGTCTCATGAAATAATTATAATAAAGTAAAAATAAAAATAAAGTTTTCCATAATCAAAGAGAAATTAGCATGTGCCTTGTGTTTCAAGAACAGGAGAGAAAGTGTTTGCAGTGTGGGGTGTCTTCCCAAGTATTGCTATATCTGGACCTTTGGTCCGTTGTACTTGTGAAAAGTTCTTCACAGAAGTTCCAATTCCCAGGAAACTGGAGGCAACTGCAGATGACTGTGGCATTATCACAGGTCAAGTGGCATCAATCATCAATGCTCAACATAGTCCCTGATCTCATTGAGAGCACATAGCCCAAAGTATCTTCTAAAATAAAGGTTGGAAAGTGAATTGCCCTTTCTCTCATCAAGACTTGAAATTTTATATTATTTGAAGACAAAATCGAATTACAGGAGGAAAAAAAATAATGAGCACTTTCAACTGCCAGTCAGCCTTTATCCTAATAAAAGTGACATAAGGAAAAGCAGAGTTGGTTTTGACCCTGCACCCCTTCAACTCCACAACACTCAAGGCAGGGCATCAAGTCTATATCTAGAACATTGAGAGGTCTGACATTCCTCATCAATTTGTCTCTCATAACTATGAGTTCACAGGTAAATGGATAATATATAACATATTGTAAAATCATAGGCTAATCATAGGCTAGTCTAGATGTCTAATGTCCTTCTTTATAAGATATACTCCAGGAAAAGCCAGAACATACAAAAAATAATTTACATGAAGTTACAGAAGCTTATGTTTTAAAAACTCAAACATATTTGATTTAAATAAACAGTAAGAGCAGCAGACTACAACAGATCATAAATAGGGTTATTTAAAGATCACAATTAAATTAGAAATATAAATGGATCATTAGAAACCCTTATTTTTGTTCAATGTTAAGAATCAAACCCAGAATTAAAAAAGAATCTTTTTTTTTTTATTTCAAAGGTTGCTTCTTATATTGAAGCTCATATTAAAGCAACAGTACAATGTTCATAAAATATAAGTGTGATGCTGTAACATTTTCGTACATGTCAGAATACTGATATTTGTATGTATACTAAAATAAGAACTTTAAAATTGTACAAATAGATACATTAAAAATGACATAGAAATAGGGTGCTCCTCACTGAAACAAGACAGTTATATCTGGCACGTATTAGTTTAGGATGAAAGTAGAAGCAAAAAGATTTACAAGAATCAGCAGTAACAAGATTGATGCTCAAGAGACATAATTGTACATTGTATTGTACATACATTGTATGGGTTTAAGCTGGCTGGATATTATATATTTCAAGTTTAAAAACGCACTACAGATAGAGTGTCCATAGTTTAAGGCGAAATTACAGCTCAGAACTGTTGTCCTTTCTAATTTCGTGGAAGCTTCTTTGACAAATTAAAAAATAAAATAAGAGAGACTTAGATGTTCCTAACACATAGACGATTTCCCTTCTTTGAAAGTTCACCGTGGACTTCTCCTTCATTTAAATATTTTGTGTGCCAAGTGGTTTTCTCTAGTGAAGTTGATAAACAACTTCAATATTTGCTTTTTGAGTGGGAAAAGGTACTTCACAGTATTTTCCACTTTGATGTCCTTGCAGTTTTATTAAATGTTTCCTCTCTGTAAAACTCTGCTTGTTTTAAATGAGCCTTTCCTTGATTTAAAAAAATACCTGTTTACACATCTTCTAGATTCTTGAGAATGCCAGACACAGTTCTTAAGGCCAAATTTGTATCATTATTGTTAAGAGTCATCATCAAAAGTGTCTTTGGAGCCATACAAGTCTGCTAGTTTCTTAAAACGAGGTCCCCAGTTCTGTAGATAGTCGTAGTCCAGGTCTGAATCTGTGGTTGCAGACTCCAAGGAGCTCAGGGACCCAGCCACGGAACCCCTGCCCTCATAACCATAGATTTGAATGGAGTCATAGGGAGGGGCCGTGGGATCATTATCCGCCTCCTGTATTCTTGTGTTGATGAAGTCGTCCACATCCACACTGTTGGGTGCTGGTCGCAGCCCAGGTCTAGGCATGTACTGATACTCAGGTTTGATATCTTTGCGAGGGATAAATCCATTGATACCGTCAGGATTCTGCAGGGTGGCAATGTCGAAGGCTTCAGTGTCTTCCTCACCACCCCCTTCATCATCATAGGTTATGATGTTCTCACGGACATCCTCTTCTTCAAATACGATGAGTGGTTCTTTCTTTTGCCTCCTCAGGGTCACAAACAACACAACGATGACTGTAGCAGAAGAAAAAGCATGTCAGACAACCCAATTGTTAAGCCCAGCCTGCCTGTTTAGTCATCCCTGAGGGGCTCTGCATCAGAACCTGGAGTGATGAGAGAAAGGATAGCTTTTCCAGAACTCCCAAAGAGCTACACGCTGACCTGTCTCTGTCTGTACAATCTGCCCTGAGAGCATCATGCCCTGTGAACTGACAGTTTGGAATTAACTTCAGTGTTTTGCAAATGAATCCCAATGCTATTTGGCAGTCCCCTGAAGAATCAGTGAGGATTACCATTTCCTGAAAGAGGCAAATGCCTATTTCTTCTTTGCAAACAAGTGTATCTGGCTTCCTCACATCTAAGATTAGAATGTTCAACAGGACTGAGGTGAAAATAGGAGACTGCAGTCCAAAGGCCCTACTCTGTAATACAGAAGTAAACCCTATCTTAAGGGTAGGGCGGGGACGACTATAAAAACCTTCAGAAGAAAAATATACGGCCTATTTGAACATAAAAACAGAGTACTGTTTAAAAGCGCAGGTGAAGCAATCCTATCATTCCTGGGCGAGATATTCCATTAGGCTTGGGCACTTAGCAGAGCCAACAATCATTTATAAGGAACACTAGATACATCTTAATTTCCATCGATTCAATGCCATCCCCACCTTCATTGGGAGACTCCAACAATCTTTTGTCTGAAGACTCTCCCACACACTTGGCAAGACTGAAAACAAGGCTTGCAGCTGCTTTTGGCAAATAGAGTAAGAGCTGCTTTGGGTTCACATCATTCTGAGAAACAGGGATTAAGAACTGGATTTAACTCAGATTTCACAAGTTCCACAGAGCCTGGTGACAGTGACTTCTCTGCCACACATTCATCTTCCCAAGTGTCCCTTTTCCTGTTCTTCGTTGCTGTTATTTGACTAAGTAGTTGATTTGTTTTGTTGTTGTTGTTTGCTTGTTTATGGTTTTGGTTTTGTAGTTCATTTAAGGAACATTCCTTGGTATCACATGTCAGAAACAAGACAGGGCTATCAGCTCCTGGTCCATGACATCATAACATTTATGATCATACTTTGGTGTATGCATGCAGCACTAATTCTTGAGACAGCTTTATATCTTGTCCGGAGCACCCATACAGTCCGGCTCTTTTATTAGCTATAAAATTCTGCTTCCAGAATTTATGCATGTTCTCTAGGCATATATGTCTGACATTCTTGGACAATGAAAGGCATTCTCTAACCTACATCCATATTACCTTATGTCCCAATCATGGAGTCTACTGTGCACCTCTGTTTGATTGTCAGTTCCTTCCTTGAGATTCTGTGAATTCATCTAACATAGAGACCTTGAAGACATCTGTCTATATCTCTCAGATTTTTCCACAGAGTCTGACTCTCAGATAGTACCCAGTAACTGTTAAACCAACCTCTCTACCTCCTTCCTCTGGAGGTGATCCTATTAATTCATTCCATAGAAAATGTAAAAATTTGTTATCAGGTGCCTTGCATTTGAAGTCCTACAGTGGTACTTGGTTCTATTAGGACGTGAACACAGGATAAGACCTACCACACCACTAACTGCTGGAGAAGCTCGTGGGCATCACCATAACCCAAATCATGCAGATGGATATACGCAGCAAATTATTAAAAGATCACTTTTCTGCTTCTTCTGACTGAGGTCCTCCTCTTTCTTCATCTATCCATTGCAACAATAATTACTCTTTCTGTTCTATAGCCCCTGATTCATTTTTGTTTTTATTCCTAAACAGAAAAACCTCCCTCATACTTCAGATTTTTGCCTAAATTCTTCAGCTACAAAACTGAAGGGCCCCTCCAGCTCACTGATAACATTTGCCTTACAGTCCTGTCGTACCATATAAAGTACACATTATGGCCTTCCTCAAACTCTTCCAGCAAAATTTGCCAAGTCACCTGCCCTACCCATCGTGCTATTGCATCTTACAGTTTGTCTTAAACCATGTGATTGGACACAGTACAGTCCTTGCAGCCAGCCTGTACTGGATAAGTCTCTTGAAGCATGTGCATTGGTTGCACCATGGAGCAGGGAGATCCTTACCCAGAAGAATGACGATGCAGGCAAGGATGGCGATCAGCGCCCCGGTGCTCAGACCAGCATTCAGGATATAGGCTTCTGCATTACAGGACAACAGTGCCCCATTCACATCACACCCACAGACTTTGATAGTGAGGGTATTGGTGCTACTCATAGGCGGGATGCCACCGTCACTGATCACAATGGGCAGGAGGTAGAAGTCCTGCTTCTGCCGACTGAACCCTCCACGTCGGGCATATACTCCTGCAGTGTTATCTGTTTGAAGAAGAGACACAGGATATGTTTTCATCATAGGACCATACAAATCACAGTTGCCTGCAGTTTGCCAGTTTGAAGGTGTGTTTTCTATTACCAAAGCCAAAGTTGAAACTTTTCTGACTTGTTAATCCAGACGTATGTCAATAGAGACCATTAATATAGCAAGATAGGATCACAGAATCATCTCTACATTTTGGAACAAAATGGAGAAATTCTCTTTTTTAGATCCGTCCTTTGGCAATTTGAATTCGAATTTTCTAAAGAAATTCCGCAACCTTCCTCAAGCTTCACCCAACACATAAACCCACTCATGTACCACAAGACAATTCCTTTAGTGAAGTGCAAATACTTGAGTAACATTACAGCTGATTCTTCTTTCTTTAAAACTCAAGCAAGCCTAAGCAACCGACTCATTTAGATTGTTACCCACCCTTGATTCATAAATTCTCACTCACGTTGCACAGCCCAAGATTGTGAAGCATAACATTGTGTTTCCTTTACCTAGACCTAATCATGTTTCCCAGGTTAACATCGTCTGTTGTCCCAAATGAAGTTCAGCCCAGCATGGAGAACCCACTTCTGTTTGAAGTGCTCATTGGTGTTCCACCTGCCGTGACTTTCAGTCAATGTTTTCCTACCTCAAGTAGCTCTTCTATCATGAAAGTTGGACTTCTCCTGACTCAAGAATACATCCCAGAGTCATCCTTTAAAGATGCCTCCTGGACCTCATTGCTACTTCTGTACATGGTGACTCATCACACTTCATATTCCTATTTCTACAGAAGTACATACTCTACCCATCACTCAGGATTTGTTGACATAACCACTTTGACCTCAATGAGATCAGGGACTTCTAGAGAGTAGGGGATTTTATCTGATTCATCTCAGGCCCTTTACTGTCAGGCACACAGCAGACATTTAATAAATATTTGTTGAGCAAATAGTGCAATTAGGTCCTGGGAAAAGTTTAACCAAAATTCCAGATGTTGGCTTTCTTATTTCTCTATGTTTTATAACCTCTATTCCCCAGTGTTTCCGCATCATGTTCACTCTACAGGCAACTACAAAACACAGGATATGTTACCTAGTGGGAAAACATTGGTTCAAAAAAAGAGTAGAAATTACACATGCTCCATCACCCTGTTCTGCTGATGTGGGCTGTCCATTTGTGGGTTAGGAAGCAATAATTTATATCAAAGGGAATTCTACAGCTGATAGCAAGTCCCACTAGCTGGCAAGCCTAAAGTACCTTGATGGACCATAAATTTGTTCCTCTGGTAGGAGCATATCCAAAAATCTCACAATGAAATTTATGGATTTTGATAACAAAATATATTTTACTTGGTAGATCTAGTCTCATGAAAGGTTGAGCACACAGTCTGAGTGCTGTGGAAGGTAAACTATATTGATTCGCTGACTTTGGCAATCTTTAGGATAATAGTTTCTCACCCATTGTACTGCCAACTCCTCCATCAAGCCAAAGCACCATGTCTCCCATTTTTACATTTTCTGGATTTTGTGTGATTGGTACATTGTACCTTTCTCATTGGAGAAAAGTTCCATATGTTACATAAAATAGTGCAGAAACTAAACTAGCCATGTAACAATCTCCTAATGATGCTCTTCTGTTCCCTGTGACACTATTATCCCTCACTTAGCAATTAAATGTATGTATCTGTAATAAACTATTTAAAGACATTGTCTCTTTTCTATTTTTCTGCATTCAAGTAAGACTTACAAGATAACCAAACATTTGCAATCTTTATTCCAGTTCAATGACTCAAAATATCATTATAGGCATTATGAATAAAAAATATTAAAAATGCATAAACATAAGCAAATTAATTAGTTTAGGTCAAACAAATTGTAATATGAGTGAACTCCATAGCAGACCTTGACTTGCTTGCTTGCAGGTTCTACTCTGGTAGATATCATGGCTGAAGATAACCTGAACTGAGTATGTTTTCTTTTTGTTTTTATAAAAAGCTTTGAAAAAATAACTTAAAACCTATTTTTCAACAATTTGTCCACACAAGCTTGCCTCTTCAGATAACAGAAGTCAGGCTTCTACAGGGGAAGAATTGAAACCCAAACACAAGTGTAATGTAGTTCTGAAAACACCAGCAATACGGGAATCCAAGATGTGTCTGTCATTCACTGCAAATCACCTGCTCTCAGAAACACAGAAATTATTACAGAAAAGTGCATTTGAGTTCTAGTATGGCTGAACCATGTCCAATCTCTGACTGATATAACAGTGGGCTCTTTCTTGAATACTTCTTTTTAAATATCATCTAGTAAACGATGTTTATTGACTAAGGCATTTCGGATCAGTTCTGGAGATAGGAAAGGAATGGACTATGAATCTTCCAGAAATACTATTTGCAAAATTCAATGATAAATGTTGTTCTATCCTGTCTAGAGCCTCACTGTTTCATCTTTAAAACAAGGGAATCTATTCATATTCTGCCTAAGACATTACTAGAACTAAATGATGTAATATACACCTTGGATTGTTCTCTGTGCTTATCTTCCAAAGGATCAACTTAATCTGCCAACCTGAAACTTAAGCATCCAAGTCCAACCATGAGCCTTAATGAAATGTGAAGGTCATAGATAGAAGACTTGTTTATGAATTTGACCTTACATTCAAATGACCTAAATTGCTTGAATACACAAAATATTTTCTCTGTATGTCCATAGTGCCCACCTCCCATAGGAGTGTGATTGTTTTCCATATGAGCAGTTCTGAGGACTAGCATTGATACCTATGACAGTATTTCTTGTCATCCATCCAGAATATGGTCAGAAATAAAAAATATTGTCAAGAACAAATGAAAAGCAGTTCTAAATGCACTCCTGGGAAAAGACACAAACAACAATAGTAAAACTCGTTTCTGGGGACAAATACGGCATTCTAAGAATGACTGTGGATAATTTTCATCTAAATTATTCTAAGTAGCTAGGCACTCACACCCTGTTTTTGTGAGTACCCTTAGTTTGGATTTGTGAAAGGAAAAGAAGTGGTTAAATCTAAGCATATTTACAGGAAGAATAGAAGTGATAAATAAAAGCAAGTATAAAAAGATGAATATTGCATTTATTTTAAATGTTATATTTTGAGACTTCCCAGATTCTTTTCCTATTTATCAAAAGCCTGTAAAGAGACAAACCACTCAGTTTTAAGGATCAAAGAGAGGTAGTTTGTATCTTGAACCTCCCCATATTTGTTATTTCATTTTAGACATGAAATTAATATATTTAGAATTAGCATTGCTTCCATTCATAATAGCACTTAGTGTGGTTTCAGCCTGTTGATGATTCTAAGAAAATATTAATACTTTTCTGGAAACTCTTCTTTCAGTAGGAGACTAATGAGGACAAGAAACTCATTGGCAAAGATAGGAAAATGAATTCTTGGAAACGTCACCAAAACTTCGAATGCAACTGCCTACGCAGAAGTGCATACACTTCATAAGTAAGGAACACATTTGTGCTTCAGTTCTAGGCTATTTATTTCCTCAGGATTAAAAAAAAAAATGTTTGTCAAGCACCTTGGCTTTTCATCCTGATGCTCGATATTTTCGTGGAGTAGATAACCAGGTCTACTTTTTCCCCACTTAGGCAAAACTTTGCAAATGTTGCCATTAATTGCCAGTATATGTCATGCAAAAATTGTAATGTTTGTATAAATGAAGAAAATAAATTCAGGTTTCAAAAATTTATGTGTAGAACATGGCCTTCTAATTGCAGGCTGCTTTTACCTGCACAGTTTTTCATTATACAGACAAAACTCAAGGTTTCCTAATGATAATGGTCTCCATGGCACCAGGTTGGGATGCTAATGTAAGCATTAGGATGATGATGTAGCCCAATGGGGAGATATATACAATGTGACAGTAAATGAAAAAGTATGGTGAAGAAATGGCCCTTGATATTGGCCTGCACTGGACACCAAAGCTTGATAATCACAAACATATTGCCTGAACGGGCATAGGTCTAGTTCTTGCATGTTAAGATATGATCAAGAGAAACATGGCAACAAGGTACAGGAATGACCTGCTGTTTACATATTGACATCAACCAGAAGTCCTTCCTTGCATCTCTTGGTTCTCTGTTGTTTTAGTCTCTGAAGGTGAACAACTCTCATTCCATGACCAACTGGAGCACACTGATAATTTATAAGGCACTTTATTCTGAGAATCTGTTCTTGAGATCACTACATATGTGGGGAAAAATAAAGTAGGCTTTGGTCCTAGGGAAATAACTTCTTTCTTTCTCATTCAAATTTGCCTGTTCTACTAATTCATCAAACACTTAGGGACAAGGTAGATCCATCCATTTCATTAAAACTCTGCCATATATTAAGATAAGTCATGATCAAGTCACTAGCCAAATACACATTTGTGTACTTTCTATCAGTTCCAGCTTCCCTAAGACAGGCAAATGTGTGCGTGTGCGTGTGCGTGTGTGTGTGTGTGTGTGTGTGTGTATGTGTGTGTGTGCATATATGTGTATATTTGTGTGTTTGTCTGTGTGTGTTTGTGAATGTGTGGGTCTGTGTGTGTGTATAACAGGAGAGGATTTATGTGACTCAAGCTTGAGACATTTTAAGCTTTAATAATTTCAGAAATCAGTGATGTACAATTATAAAATGTCACTAGAAAGTTTAATTTTACAGAATTATTTTATGCTCATTTAAATTTGTGAATTTTGAATAATTTGTTATAATATAGTGCACCAATCAGCTCATCATTATCAATCAGAATGACTTAGCTATTAAAAGTTAAAAGCAGTATTTACATAGTCATTAGTGTCCCTATCTGTGTCACTGGGGGTTACATCCACGGAGAAGAAGGAGGAGGGGTAAGGGGATAGGGGGTTCCCGGGTGGGTGGGGGATGGGGTAAGGGGACAACATATGAAATGTAAATAAAATATCCAATAAAAAAAAAAGAAGATGAAGTCATTATACCAAAAAAAAAGATGAACTTATTG